TAAATACAAATAGCTAATGATACGATAAATATTTTAAGTTTTAAAAATTTGGGGGGAAGCTAATAAAAACAAAAATCTGTATCAATGTTTAAAGGCAAAATAGTCTGAAAAAGCAAATTGTATAAATGTAAAACATTGAAAATTAACATCATTAAACCATCTTCAAAAAAATGTAAGACAAGGCTCAGTTGGTGTCTTTTTCTTTTTTTTTTTAAAGATTATTTATTTATTTATTTGTGAGAGAGCATGAGCAGGGAGAGGGGGAGGGGCAGCAGGAGAGGGAGAAGCAGACTCCCTGCTGAGCAGGGAGCCAGACATGGGGCTTGATCCCAGGACCCCGAGATCATGACCTGAGCTGAAGGCGGACGCTTAATCAACTGAGCCATCCAGGCGCCCCAGTTGGTGTCTTTCTTAAATTAATCCTTCATATAGTGTTATAAGGAAAGACACCTTTTAGCCCCTACAAACTCCTGATACCCTCCCAGCTTTTATTAGGCCTTCCTTATTCAGTAGCTTAATAAAATGAAAAGATCAATTTACAACCCTATAAGATGTAATCATTCAAATGTTCCAGGAATTCCAAGAACTATATTTAATTATCTGCTGTATTTATAAGATTTTTCAGAATTATCTAATTTGGTATCTTCTTCCTCAAAAGTTTAATAAAGTAACTCTTCCTCATCATTAGGCTCATTAAATTCTTCTTGCACATTCCTTCCTCTCCCACTTTTATTCTTCCCAATTTGTAAAATAGTCCTTCACTATTATTGTTCTTACTCTTCTTAATTTGTACTTTATAAATGTATGCTTTATATTCTATCAATTTTCATATAATATTGATATTTTCAAACTGGATTGATAAAAATAAACATTGTTATACATAAAGAAGCATAAGTGTTATCTTCTCTTATGTGGGGAAGCAGCCAGGTTATTTAGTGTAACATAAGCTAAAATATTGTTCTTGGGTCGCTCAACCACAATGAACTAATATATAAGTCCTAATTATATGATTTGTGAATTTTTTTCCTTTTTCTCCAACCACTTTTTTCGCAAGGGGGTGAAATCATTTGGCAAGAGACAGCTCATAAAATGATCATAGAAATAAATTTAAGGACTCGAAATTTTGTGGTTTTTATTAAATATAATTCTAAATAAACATATGAAATGCTATTGTAGGAAAATACGTGAGAAAGAATATAGGGAGAAAAGAAAGAACCAATCTTTACTAATGACAGATTTCTGGCCTGATCAAAGAAAAATAAGGCACAGAAATTCTTTCAGTTCTCTTTACATATTTTCTAGGGAAGTTTAAGCAACAGCATATCACTTGATCTCAAACATTATATCTCATCATCAATGATTATGGATTACTACAGGAATGAGGATAATGTACTGTTAAGAGTCAAAATGCTCTTGTCAGGAAACATGGATTAGAAGCCTAACTCTACCATTTACTAGCTCTATGACTACAAGTTTTCATCTATATGAAGGATAATAAAAGTTCCTATTTCATGAGACTATTATGATAAGTAAATAAGATAATGCATGTCAACTGCTTAGCAAAATTCCTGATACTCAGAAAATATATTTAAAATGTTAAACACTTATTATTATTGTGTCCGCGGTAAATAAAGCATTTTGTTCATACCTCATGTAGACCTGATCGTATCATTACCCTACTTGCAACTTCATCAGCTTCTCACTGCCTTTAGAATTAACTCTCAACTTAACTTATAAGGTACTCCAAATACTCATTTCTCACCATTATTCCTCTTCAACTCTAAACCAAGCCTCATTAGATTTTAGTTCCTCAAATATGCCATACCCCCCTGCTTGCCTCTAAGTCCTTCCACATGAAGTTCGTTTTGCACATAACGTTCTTTCTCATCTCTTCCTTCAAGAACCACTTCTTCTGAGAGTCCTTCCCTGACATGCTGACTAGTCTGGACCAAAAAGCTTAATGTTCATGGAGATATCTTGCAACCACAATGCGTCAAGACTGAGGATGAAAGCCAACAGGTTAAGTAAGACTGGCCTGTTGGAAGAGTTAAAAAGTACCCAAATCTGCTTACCTCTAAACTCTTTGTTTTATTAGCAATAAACGTGCTCATGGGGGCACCTGGGTGGTGCAGTCAGTTAAGCCTCCAACTCTTGCCTTTGGCTCAGGCTGTGATCGCAGGGTCGTGAGATCAAGCCCCGCATCGGGCTCTGTGCTGAGCGGAGTTTCTCTCTCCCTCTCCCTCTGCCTTCCTCCCCACTCTCTCTCTATATATAAAATAAATAAATAAATCTCTAAAAAATTGTGCTCAAGGTTTAAGCCAGAAGCTGACAAACTACAACCTGTGGGCCAAATCTGCCAATTGCTCATTTTGTAAATAAAAGTTTTATTGCGATACAGCCATATCATTCATTTAACATTATCTGTGGCTGCCTTGGTGTTCAGTAGTTGCAACAGAGACACATGGCCTAAAAAGCCTAAACTATTTGCTATCTAGCCCTTTACTAAGAAGTCTGCTGTCCCTGGTTTAAGCTACTATTGTTTAGGTTTTGTTAATTATGGCCAAAAGCATTCTAACTCATACACTGTTTCCAAGCAAACTAGTAAACATTCATCTGATTTCACTGTAATTACTTACACATCTTCCCTTCTATCTATGCTTATTTTGCCATCTGCATGAACTCTCCAAGTAGGACTGCCTACTATTATGACCTTGTTATCAACACAGTACTTCATAAATAGAAGGCATTTAAATATTGTTGACTGAACAAGCGAACGAATGAGTATATCTGATCAATAACCAATCAATATTTATTAACAACTAACATGTATATTAGGTACTCTAAGTGATACAAAAGAGTAAAAGATATATTCTCAGCCCTGAATGGCTTAAGAAATCAGGTCTAAGAAATAAACACATAAGCTTAAAAAAAAAAAGACAAATTATTTCTGAAGCAAAGCAGGGTACATCTGTACATATATAAATACTATCATTAAATGTGTACGTGACCCCCCCAAAAAATTCCTGATTTTAGATCTTACCAAAAGGTAAGAATCTGGATGTCCTCGGCACAAACCACAAGAGAGAATATCCTGATACAACACCGTGACCTTATACTATGGTCCACTAAAACCATGGAAATTACTGAATCAAGCAACTCAACAGCTTTTTGACATTGGTTCCCAGAGCCCTTCAACTGACACCTCTTGTTTTGATCTTGTTCATCCCCTTTGTTGAGATTTAAAAAATAATGAAGAATACAACATTATTACCTTGTAAATCTGTCATCCAGGATTTAGTCCCTCGAACATAATCGCCACTGAGTTCAATCTGTAAAACTGGCCCAAACTTTCAAGATTGATGTCACCATATTAGAATCTTTCCTGAAACCACCCAACCTCCCTTTTTTATCCATGCACTCATTTTTCTTACCTTTAAAATCTCCATAATAATGCTTTATGTAATATTAATTTTATACAACTGTGTAATTATTCTGGTGAAGTGGAAAGCAAATATTTAATGACTACCAGAAAGCATAGTCACTCTTCTCATAGCCACATAACATCTAAAGTATAAACCAAAAGAAAAACAAAAAAGGGACAAGGAGCAAGGTAGTTCCTTGACTGACATAATTATTCATCCTCTTGGTCCATATTTTCCAGTCTCAAAAAGCCATTCTCTATCCTCTCTTCAAATCTATCATCCTCCTGACTTTCTCCCTCTCTCAACAGATTTCTCTCATATCCTCTCTGATCTTAATTCCACTCTACCACTCTAGCTAACTCAGCCTCCCTATCCTTATGGCCAGATATCCAACCCCATCTCCGCTCCTATAACATTCAACAATCCTTAAAACTAGAAAAAGACAGAACTCGGAATTTTGCAGGACCACAACTGCTCGGTGTGCATTAAAAGTTGTGAGGTCATCAGGAAAAAGAAAGTCATATAATAATACTATCCTCTTCCAAAGTCCACCACACATTTATCATTTCAAAGAATCTGACAGGTTTTATAGTATCACTGTAAATCTGGAAATAAAAAATAAACACACAGACAACTGTGAAAAAGAAAAGGATGAGAGATGAGTTCCATATCCTTTAATAAATTTAATTCTTCATAGAATCAAGATCTCAAGGAACTACATTTAAGATCCTGACAAGCTCTTTGATTTAACACTGAAAACTGATACATTACAGATAAACACTTTAGTACTGAAGTATTACAGTGAATATACATGGGGTGTTGAAAGACTCACAAAGGGGGATAAATTCCAAGATGTTCTACCTTTTATAATAAAAGAGCCCAATGTCAGTTTTGAATAAAACAAACAAGAAGCTATAATTCAAACTACAAACCAAGATTTTGTTTCATTTTAACATTTTCTAATTTAACAAACAGTTATCAATGGATTTCAACCTCCAACTGGACAAAGTTAGACTAATTGTTTCAATAAACCAATTCCAGAAAAAATAAATTCTGGGTCTCACACATACATACACTCACTCTAACACACACACAAACACACCCCTAACAGTGGTCAAGTCCCATTCTATATAGAAAGAAGTCTAACCAATAGTAAATCACATGGTTCCCTACCTTCGTTTTACTTTTACCCTTTTCCCCTAACAGCTTTACAATAAATTAATAGACATTTTTAATCATGAGCTAGTCTTTAAATTTTAAAATCATATTCATGGTAAGGAAATTGAATGTAGAACTTTCCTAAAGAATTATGTAAATTTTCTTTTACTGACATACTAAGCTTTGATCATGCCATTTATTTTGTTTCTAAAATTTGTTATATAAGTCTTAAATGAAAACAGGAATATAAAGGAAGCACAGTAAAAGTCTGAGATAACCATTTTGATTTATCCTTTCTTCTTTATGTAATTTATTTTCCTCTTTTGTCAATCTAAGAAAAATCTCAGAGAATGAAAATTTAGTTTGAATATTGCCATGGAATCATTGAGTCATCACTACTTAAGATTTGTTTCAACTTACCCACGTTTGATGTTGTGTAATTCCTTATCCTTGCATTTATCCTTCTCCTTTTCTCTTTTCTCCTTGTCTCTGCCTTTACGTCGTTCTCTATCCCGAGATCGACTACGGGTTCTTCGGTGACTGGACCTTTCACTGCTTCGACTATGGGACCGTGGACGAGGTCTTGACCGGGACCTATATTAAGTAGATTTTATTACATTCATTTAGTGTATATTTTGTATTATGAAATGCAAATATTCTTAAAAACTATCTAAAATGATTTAGTTTTTAGTTATGGATTTGGTAACTAAATAACTGTGTGAAGTAAACATCTGTATAGGATTCTTTATGAATAAATATACTCAATTAAAATGACATGAGGGAAATATATGTTGCCAAACTTAGAGGAAATTAAGGTTTGGTCAAAAAATGTCTGCAAGTGTAAGTCTTAAAGGTTCAAATCGAGTCTTGATTACTCAAGTCTCCTCAAATAATATAACAAATCTAAATGTATTCAAAAATAGTGTCTTCCCTATCTCTATAATCTTGGCTTCCATATCTATTCAACTTCTTTTCTTACATCTATTACAATAAAACTATTACTCTCCTCCACCCTTATCCAGCTATTCTTTTTTTTTTTTTTTTTAAGATTTTATTCATCTATTCATGAGAGACAGAGAGAGAGAGAGAGAGAGAGAGAAGCAGGCTCCCAAGGAGCAGGGAGCCCGATGCGGGACT